GTAAGTGTCTCTAATAATATAAGTCAGTAGAAGTGCGTCTTAAACCACGCGTTATAGCTATCACAACTCTTTTCTTGCACAAGTTCAACAGCTTTACTAAGGATTCAAATCCCCCCGTAAATCTGAGTGAATTTCCTCGAGTGTGTGCAGAGAGTGTAGCGTGCCCACCCCTCGCCGAGCACGCGCGCACTGCCCCGCCGCCGGCCTCCTCGCGGCCGGGACGCGCTCCAAATCACGGTGTCGTGCCGCTCTTATCGAGAGTGGAAACGGCTCGACTATTAGGCCGGCCGGCGGGCCGGGTGGGTCCCCTTTACGTTATTGGGCTATTGTATTATTTCGGAGGCGAAAAGTCAGAAATACTGAATGTGAGGTGTGCTCATCGACGTTCAAATAAAAGAGATTGCCCATAGGAATGACCTTTTTCTCGGCCCGGGCCCCGAAGGGCGAGGCACTGAGCCCACGCCAACGAGACGACGCACGTCATTCCTAGGAGCAATATTTAGACCCAGACACGTCGATGATTTCAAGTTCAAAAGTGGAATGACCCCCACCGCCGACAGCGACTACACTTCAGTTTTTCCTTTGTTTTTGTATTTTTTGTCATTTACACTTAGACCGCAAGTGTCTTAGTGTCATGTTAAACAGTTACGGTTGAGCCTTGTTTCTTGAAGTTCGACGCGGGAGTTCTCTTTTGAGGCCCGGCTCTCTGACTGGTTCGAACTCCCCGCACCATTTTTGCCCCCGCGCCTGGGGAAAGATTCAGAAGTAATGGGGAAACCCACTCTCATCCTACTGACTCCTGGTTTTTTGGACGCATTCTCAGTATTTTTGCTGCGTAAAAATCTTTATAAGCTACTATCAACTTTTTTCATAAGTAATATCAGTGAGTTACTGCCAAAAATATACAGAATATGTAACAAATTAGTCAGTAATCGTGCTGCGTAAAAAAGTAAATAGTTTCTTAATAAAAATAAATCAGTGCAGGTCTGAGGGTGCTTTAAAAACGATTAGACACATTCGGACGCAAATTGGTCACAAATGCATTTTCATTTTCGAGAGTTTTCGTTGCCAAAAGAAGCATTTATTACAGTTCGCGTGAGCCTGATGTCATTATTTGAATAATACCATTTGTTAAGGTGGATATTTGAAACGAAAGTATGAAAACTATATCAGAATACCGGTGTCTATTTCGTTTGCGGGAAGTGTGTTCTCGGTGGTGGTGGTGGTGGTCTCGTTTAGGTGACACTTCATTATACTTCATGGGTTATTCCGAGGCAGGTCAGCATGTCGAGGAAGTAGCCAATGGGTACGAAGACGATACTGAAAATGCCGATCAGTGGTGCCATGAAGATGCCGATCAAGGGAATCGCCAAGCAGAACTCGACGAAGCCAAACGTGGTGTTGACTGAGTCAACCAAACCTTTGCCGAACTCTACTACGCATTGTCCGAACGACGAACCTTTGCTTACGAGCTCAAAGGTTTCGCGTGACGATACGGCTGCAGCCTGGAATTTCAGAAATGCAATAATTGGTCGTTGTCCTAATAACCAGTCATTGGCCTGACCGCGCCAGAAAAAATTGAGCCAGTTAAAAGCGCACTTTTTAAAATTGACAAGTGATTTCATTCCTGCGCTATTTGAAAGCGCTCTTTGAAAGCGCTCTTTGAAAGATTGCCGCTTTAAAAACCCCAAGAGTGTGGTTGGCTCACACCTGCAAATACAAACGTGCGAATGTAAATTCACACACATGCAAACGTGCGACCATAGACCGATTGGTTTTGCTGTACGGAGCGGCTTTTAAAATTGTGCCAACAGACACTACGGTAAAATGAATCGCATCCTTACCTGTGCAGATGCAACGCATCCCACTGCCAGTAAAACACACACCAACTTCATGGTCACCTTCGCGTTGTGAACTGGTGCACTTGCACTGCTAGAGAGATGGTTTTATGTCGTTTCTTAGATCGCCTGGCCTGGCCCAAGTTCAAGTGCCACATCCGCCACAGTGATTATACATCATCTGAGGTGCGTGACTTTCATATTTTTGTCCCCTGCGAGGCGCGCAGCCCACGTCTAATTACTTCCGATGCAGCAGCAGGTGGGCTTTGCGGACGATAGTCAGGATAGTCAGGCGTGCGCCTCGTACAAGCACAGCAGCTTGGCGCAGCGACGGGAGGTGGCAGACAAGTGAGTTGTTGGGACCAAAACTCCTCACGAGACGGGACTCCGTTTCTTTTAAATTGTTTGATATTATTGTAACCAAAAAAAGTATCATGCACTACTGGCAACAGCAATTTGTGTTGATTTTTGTGTGGGATTTTCAACCCTGTGCGACCTGAACCTGTTTTATAAATCCCCATTGTATACGGTTACGCTACGGTATCCTAGGTAACGAACTACCGGACTTGTAATAACAATTGTCTTTTTTTTTTTGTTCAACTTTTTTTGTGATTATTTTTATTTGTCTGAACGAGTGTTACAAAGTTATCGCCAATCGCATTGAATGTTCTGGCCGAGTCTTATCCGTGGATGATTCCGAGGCAGATGAGCATGTCGAGGAAGACGGCCACCGGCATCGTGACGATGCCCACGATGGCGATGATGGGCGCGATGATGAGCCCGAAGACGGGGATGGCCAGGCAGATGGTGAAGAAGCCCGCGACGGCCTGGAGGCCCTCGTACAGGGCCGTGCCGAAGCCGAGCACGCACTGACCGATCGACGAGTCCTGGGGCACGAGCTCAAACAAGGTGTCGCGCTCCGACACCGCCGCGGCCTGCAATTTCAGGGAAATGCACTGATGAGATGAAACAGAAAAGGGCACGCAAGTAGTGCTCAACACTACGTTGCACACAGTTGAGTACTGTTTGGCTTATTTTTTAAATGCTGTAAAGTGTTGAACAGTAATGTTGAACGCCTATAAGCAGTCAACTTCAGGGTTGGTCAATAGCCATACAGCCTTAAATTGACACTCTTAAGTGTTTAAAATTACTGTTGAACCCTTCTATGCCGTGAAATTTTCAGTTCAATAAATCCTTAAAGTATGCACCATGGCGTTGAAAACTGCTAGCATTTTCATGCCAGTTGCACACTTTTGTCATCGATAACTTTTTCCGTATAAAAAATTAATCGCTCGCTCAATCGCCACACAGTGGCGTGACTTCAGTTCCACTCGATAAGAAATTAGCCCACTCAAGTCACTGCTTTAAATAATTAATACTGCGGTTTAAATGTTGCCCTTGAAATGAATCACATCCTACCTGTGCAGATGCAAGGCATCCCAGTGCTAGCACAACACACAGCAGGGACTTCATGGTGAGCTTCGCGTGGTGAACTGCCTCGCTGGCGCCGCAAGACTGATGGTTTCATGTCGTCCCTCTAGTTCACTTGGCCTGGTCCAAGTTCAAGTACCACACTTGCTGTGATTGTGTAATCATCATTGATCTATCAGACTCTCACTTTTGGACTCTACGTGAGGCGTAGTGGTCAACTTATTAGCTAATTACGACGTGCTATTTACTTTTGCTGTTACAACATATTCCACACGACAACGAAGTAAATGGAGTGTATAAAACGTGTAAGAGTATGAATGGCATTTCTACCTACGGAACAGGCGATTGGCGAGTAGGCGCCATTGTTCACGGCGAAGTGATAGCAATGATAGTGTATCATTTTTTCACCGGCTCCGACTCAAAACTCGCTACTCAAGATTGGCGGGAAACTATCTAACTTAAGCCAGCCATTATGTCGGGCAAACCTTTCCAGCGGTAAAAACCGACGTTTTACCTCAAAATCAGTTTTGGCAAATTATGTCAGCACGGCGCCTGCAAGACTCGGGTTAGGCCATCCCACAGTGCTTTCCTGCACGGCAGGGAAATTGTGGCCTACCTATGAGGTGCTATGAGAACTTTGTAAAGGCTGGACTTGGCAGGTTTCGTAACGGAGATTAGCGGATGTACTTTCTGGATGAGTCTGTGCCTAAAATACTTCTCTGCACTGTAAACGAAATATTGTAAATTCACGAGGGAGCTTTCCCCCGTGAAAGCTTAAGCCACCTCACTGACAACTATTGGGCACTTTACGATGTGTAGTTATTTGTGATCGCTACAATTACTTATTGTTTATTCAGGTAGCAATGGATCGTTTCCATGCTCGTCGGAGCGAAAACGCAAGTTCGTGAGAGCGGTGATGGTTTATTGATAATGAATAAAATTAAAATCTTAAAGATTCCTTCTCAAATACTTTCAGGAAAAAGCGAGGGGGCCTCAACTCCGGCAATCTGGTGTACACCCACCCCGGCAATCTGCGATAATCTTCGGCAATCTCTAGGTAATCGGCTGCGAAACCCATGCTTTTTGCCTACATTCAGGGTGACATTAGTGCGTTTTGCCTAGTTACAGGCGATTTATGCCCTTAAAGCTAAATATTAGTCTAGTAATCTGGCAATCTTGGCAATCTGGTGTACATCCTACAACAGAGTTGAGGCCCCCTCGGGAAAAGGGCGTTGCAGAGCACTCAGAAATCAATGGAATGGGACTTGCCGGCATGTAGGGGGTTTACAGGCGCACTGGCTACAACCCCAACCGCTGCTACTGCAGGCTCATGAGGACCTGCAGGAAACTGAACCACGACTTGAGCGCGCTCCCGCAGGTCTTCCTGTCGAGCGTCCCGATGCCCCACCCCCGGAGGTCGCCGCCGTGTCCCCGGGACAGCTGCACCATGCTGAGGCGCATCTTCCTGCGCTGCACCGTCTCCTCCAGCCAGGGGCCGGCGCCGGCCAGGTCGGCGAAGCGCACGCGGGCGTAGGCCATGCCGTCGCCCACCAGACAGAACGGCACGAACACGAACAGCACCAGCGGCGCCATCCCGACGGCGAACAGGTCCGCCTCCACGCCGTTCAGCACCACCTGCGCACACAAACTGGTTGTTACAACTCTGTGGTTCTGAGTGGTTGGAGTTTTACAAACCTTCCCGATTGTTTCAGTCTTCTGGTGGTTCCAGTCCCCTGAGAAGACTGCTTCCCAGTCGGTGATTGCGACATTGTTTCAGCCGTCTCTAATGAGTGTGACTTGTTGGTTCCATCCCCCTCAGGTGATTGCAATGTAGTTGTTTCTATCTAATGATTGCAACCCGGTTGCTGTCTCCGGCACTCGCCTCCACGGTGCAGAGCAGCGGGACCACGACGCTCACGATGAGGACCTGCGGGAGCAGGGGGGCCACGGCCGCGTCCACGCTGATGGCGGCCTGCGTGAGGACGCTCTGCTGCCGCGCCAGCAGCGTGTCGCAGGGCCTCGTCTACAAGAAGAAAGCAGAACGCAACTGGAAAAATACTTTGTCACGATGACGAAAATACCATGGCTAATTTTCGTCATCGTGACAAAGTATTTTTACAGTGTTTTTGTTTACAAGTAGTGCACTCGGCGATAAACCGTTCATCGTCTAGTGTGCCGAGTGAGAAATCAAAAATCGATGCGATATCATATCGATATCAGTATCGCGCCAAATTCAGAACCATTTCAAGATTAAGTCGACAGGAAAATCGCTAGTATTCTGACATCGCCATTGCGGCTTTATATTGTGGTCGATATCGCCAGTTCTCTCTGGAACACTTCCTCTCCAGCCGGACCTTACCTGGAGGGCTTCGCCTATGCCCTCGTACATGTCCGCCAGGGACAAGTAGATGACCAGGATGAGGACGACCAGCGTGTAGTCAGACAGCACGGCGCAGAGCCCCACGAACAGCTGGAACGACAGGAAGCCCCAGCGCAAAACGTTCGCTGTGAACTTCTGGTGCGCTGTTAAACAGACGTTTCCCTTTTTAAAAACTTCCTCTATTTTATGCCTTTCATATGCGTTGTTTGCGTGCCCAGTAAACACGAAAATGTCACGAATATATCATATACTTCATATTGAAGTCAAAATGACCCAGTTTCAGCAGAAATATTGTCCATTTCGCTGGAAACTAGCTAGCAAACTTGGAATGTTTTTAATCCCACACCATCGACGGCTACCGTAAAACTAGACATGGGACTTAAATTTAAATTTCAAAATGACTTTAAAATTTATCGAGGGATCCCCCACTTCAAAAGTAAGTGTACAACGAGTTTGCGAGGTAGTTGACGAGCTGTCGCGAGTAACGCGCGAGTTTGGACCATTTTTTTTTGAGAGTTTTGCGCAGTTTTTCGTGAACTTTGCGCGAATTTTCGCAAGTTGGGAGTGGTCAAACGAGTTAGCTCGTGGGGGGCCCCTCGGAATGTATGTCATTCCATATAAAATAACTGTTTGTACGCTTGCGGTTGATAAAGTCTAAAACAACAATGTGCAGTCACCACGCCCTGGTCAGTGTATGAGGTGACTCTCGCTCACTGCCGATCAGCGGCTCCATCCAGGCCGCCAGGTGGTCCTGCCAGGTGGGCTTGCGGAAGACTAGCGCCACGGCGACCGCGGCCTCCACCAGCCAGGCGTACGTCTCGTAGAAGCGCACCAGCTTGGCGCAGCGCCGGGCGGTGGCGGCCATGTGAGTCTGTGGGGGGAAACCAAAGCGCTCACTCTGCAAATCGAACTGTAAAACAAGATGACAGTTTTAACTGCAAAACGAAAAAGTTGTACGGTTTGAACTTGTCAAACTAGCCCTATGCATATGTGCAGTTTGAACTGTAGAGCTACTTAGTGTTGTGGTTTAAACTCTGTCATCTTGCTGAGTTGGAACCTGTTGGTTTGTTTTAAGGCTAAGTCATTGTGTGATCTTTGGCGCTTCTTGTTGTTAGTTATTGATCTTGTCGAGTCGGCGGATTTTATTTAAAATTGTCCTAGCCAAAATAAAGTTAGTCTTTGTGGAAATCTGATATCACACTGATGAATAAAGTATGCAACAACTGACGTGCACATACAAGTTAGTGCTCATTGCTCAACACCACGTTGCACACTTTTAACTTACTAAATATTTCAATACTGTGTTTAACAGTTAAGTTGCACCCCGAAAAGTGTTCAACTTCAGGGTTGGCTGTGGCCATGAAGCTTTTGGACACTTTGAAGTGTTCAAATTTACTGTTGAACACCTGAAAGTGTGCACCATAGAGTATAGAGTTGAGTAAAACGAGTACAACTATGTGCATGCCAGTTTCACACTTCTGTTTTCAGTGTTGTGAGTTGCATCCTCCAGCCCCAAAATCAATAGGAACTCGAATCGATTTCCTTTCACACGTTCACGTTTCCGTAACTAATGTTACTAACGACAGGTGTTTACCTTTGTGTGCTCGTGGGCGCTGGTATCGAGGGAGGCGCTCAGCTGAACGAGCCGACACAGGCACGTCTAATGAAACCAGCCATTCAACAAAGTAAGAGTAAGTAGAGAGGCACATATCACCAATAACTGCGAATTGCACTGCACTATATAGCCGCTCCGCGCAGCTCTCTCTCTCTCTCTCTCTCTCTCTCTCTCTCTCTCTCTCTCTCTCTCTCTCTCTCTCCCTGCCTTGATGCCGCGTCTTCGGAACATGAACAAGACGATGACGACGAGGGTCGTGTACACGGCGAGGGCGACCCGAAAGCCGAACATGCTCCCGGAGACGGTCGAGTCGTAGACCATCTGCACCATGACCAGCACGGAGATGACCAGGCTCGCCTAGCGCCAAACAGTCACAGGGACGGAGAAAAACTGACCACACGCGAACCGCAACCTAGCACTCTCTACACGCCGTGGTCGCCTTGCTCACCCAAATTATTGTTGTTGTTTCTTTTCTTCTGAATGCGAAATTTTGGCCTTCTTTTAGATACTGGCAATTTTTGGCCTCCATGCTCTCCTCGCCTATTGACACAATTTTGCCCTCTTTTCTTTTCTTTTCTTTCCTTTCCT